AGGCAGCCCGCCAGCCAGACGGCGGCGCAGGTGGCGTGGACGGAGAGGCGGCGGCGGTGGCGGTAGGCGTGGACGGCCAGCACGATGGCCAGGTAGCGGTCCACGGCCACGCAGGCCAGCAGCAGGCTGCTGCAGTAGAAGTTGACCTTGTGCAGCGCGATCACGGCCTTGCAGGGGACGGCGCCCAGGACCCAGCCCACCGAGCCCTCGGCCACGGCGAAGGGCAGGATGAGCACCAGCAACAGGTCGGCCGCCGCCAGGTGGAACAGGAAGGTCTCGGTGGAGCTGCGCGTGTGCCGGTGCCGCTCCAGGACCGCCAGCACCAGGATGTTGCCCGTCAGCCCCAGGAGGAAGACCAGGCCGTAGGCCACGGGCATGAACACGGCCTTGAAGGAGGTGAGGAGGGGCCCCTCGGCCGCCGAGCAGATGTGGTTTTCCACGGGGGCGGTCTCCGTGCTGTCGCTGTAGTTTCCTAGTTCCTTGGGTCGCAGGAGTGAGGAGACAGGAAGGCAGAGAACTGAGGACCCGCCTTGCTCCCTGGAGAGGGGTCCCGACTCCCCACAGATTGTCCTGATCCCCCACTGACTGCTCTTGCCTGCACTCCCTGCTGTCCCACTGACCACACCCCAACTTCCCTGGGTGTCCTTGACCACATTGCTCTGAGCGCCTTTTCCCGCTTCAGTTTTCGTCTGTAAAAGAGGCCGATTGGCCCGGCTGCTGTGGCTGCTGTGAGCATCAGCCTATGAACCAGGAGCTCACAGTTCAATTCCCAGTCAGGGCACAGGCCCAGGTTGTGGGCTTGATCCCCAGGAGGGGGCATGCAGGAGGCAGCCGATCCGTGATTCTCTCTCATCATTGATGTTTCTCTCCCTCTCCCTTCCTCTCTGAAATAAAAAATATATTTTAAAAATAAATAAAAGGGACTGATGGCTCAGGGGAGTGATGGAGATGAAAGGACTCACAGGTGTGGCATGCTGCACGGCCTCTGACGGGCTGTGCCCCGAAAGCTACCCCTGTCTGTGTCCCCACGTGTGCAGGTGCAGCTCTGGGCTGGAATCCAGACTCCAGAGTGGGAATGGCTCCAGCGGGGCCAGAGCTGTCTGCTCCATCCGTAAAGCCTAGAGTCCCCGCAGGGACGGTGCTGGGGGCTGCTGCCCCTCTTGATGTGCCCTCTCTTCCCGTCAGTGTCCTTGAAGCTGCAGTAACAGCCTCCATTTCCATTCATCTAACAACAGGCTCAGGCAGGCAATGTTCCTAGTTTACCAAGGCATCTCGCTCAAGATCAGTCGTTTGAACCACTTGATCTAACTCCAGAGCCAGTGCCGCCACCACCAGGGGCAGGGCCTGGGCTGCCCTCCGGGACACGGACACTCCCGTCACTAGAGCTCCCCTGGCAGCCTCAGAAGCAAGAGGAAGGCAGGGAGACCAGGCCCAGGGGGCGGGAGGGAGGAGCCTGTTCCCAGGGAAGCGGGTGTGCCCACTCTGTCCTTGCTCCCCTGCCCCAGCTTCCTCCCCCCCCCCCTCCCCGGCACTCAGGTTGCTTACCCAGCTAACCGCAAAGGAAGAGGGGGGTTGGCTGTGCCTTTTCATACCTTTCACTCACAGCTGGCCCCCTGCACCTGCTCCGCCTCCCTCCCGCCTCTCCCCTCACCAGACCTCTCTCTATGGCATTTTCAAAACCAGTGATAACCAATGAGTGTCCGTTACAAAAGACACTGCCTATTATCAAGGATCCCAGGGAGGGAGAGGCTGGGAGAGGTCCTGGCAGCCTGGTTCTGGGGTCCCGTGCTGCCTTCCTTCTGGAGAGTGAGTCCTGCACAGCCAGGCATTGGCAGCGCCCCAGGAGTCCCAGTTCCCATCCCCAAATTGGGGTCTTTTCCTTCTGGTCCCTGGGGCAGGTGACTCTGGAGAAGTGGGTGAGGGGATACATTCGTACCATGGCAGACCCTCTGCCCCCCATCCCTCTCCATCCCCTCCATTCAATGCTGGGGACCAGTGTCCCTCTGTGGGTCTTCACTCTGCCTGGCTCCTACACAGAGGAGGGATTTTCCAACCCCAAATCCCCATCGCACCAGGGTCCTGCTGGTTCCTGTTTACCTATAAACAGTGTTTTTTTAATTTTTCTTTTCTTCCCAATTTCACACTGAATAGCAAAACCAATGATGAGGAAAATCATGTTTGTGAGAAAGCGCCTCAAGATGGAGTAAGCCTTGGACCCGGCGAGCATGACGCTGAGCAGAACAAGTCAGCCAGAGAGAGACAACATCACAGGCCCTCGCTCACGCGTGGGATCTAATGAGCAGCATGAACCGGTGACCAAGAATGGACCCGGAGGCGGAGCGCATCGCTCAAAGGGAAGGTCGGGAGGGTGGGCGAGGGGGAAAGAGATCAACCAATGAAGTCATATGCGCATATGCACAACCCACGGACACAGGCAACTGGGGGGGCCGGGGGGGCGGTGGGGAGAGATGAATGAGGGAAAAAGGGGACATATGTAATACTTTCAACAATAAAGGTTTTAAAAGAAAAGAAAGATTGGAGTAAGCCGCCGTCATGCATTCACACATGGGATGCAATGTGGGGCTCAGGAAGAAGTGGGGTTCACCTCCAAGTTCTCTCAGGGA